CACGCTGAGGACTAAGCATCTTGTTTTGGACGTGCACTTGCCAAAGGAAGGCTTTGCCTTTCCAGCTGGTGTTGTGCAGATCAGTGGCTTAAATGATGCGTGCTGTTTCCTCCCACAAATAATGTCTATAGATTTATACTTGTATGGTTTAAGAAATACGCTTTCGCTGCTATCAAAAAACCATGCAACTATGGCCTGAACAACTATCTGCTGTCTGACTAGCCACAGGCCATTTCTATCTGCTGTGCTGGACCTAAAAAAACCCTGGAGAGCCTCAGTGGAAAGACTGCAGGTGGATCGGGTCACTCCACAAACCTGACAGCACTGTACCGATCAGACTGGCACAAGTTTAAGTTGCACAGTTGGGGTTTTTTTTGCTGTTACGTGAATGAGAGCAATCTTGTGAGTCAAATACTACGGCTTTACAAGCAATCTCTGATTTAAATGCTTATAGAAATGTTGATTGGAGGGACCTCTGAATGGCAATGGCTTTGTCTGGGTACATCTTGAAAAACCTCCAAGGACGGCACTTCTACAGCCTTTCTGCCAACCTATTCTGACTGTGCACCAGTGCCCTAGTGAAAAATTAGTTTCCTAATGTCCATCCTGCACCTCTCAATTCACAATCATCGCCTCTTGTTATATTGTTTGGCCCCACTGAGAACTGTTTTGTTCCCATTGCAACCACCCATCAAGCAGTTGTAGGAATTTCTTGGAATTGTTGCAGTTTCCTTGGAATGAAGATTATCCAGTGTGAACAATAGGCTTTTTGTTTCTTTTTTTTTTTCCCCCCTCTGCATCTTAGTATTCCATTTCTTGGTGTGCTAAAATGGATTTGCATCTGGGATTTCATACATATGGGGAAGCTTATTGACCATTATCTAATAGACTCATTTAGCACAATTTTGAAATCAGTTAGAGTCAAATATCTTAATTTCCTTTTGCATGGCAGCCTTTTTTTGAGAAGTGGTGAACTGTAGCTTCCCTGGCCAGCATTGCTCCTGCCTTTTCATAGCCGAGCACTAGAGCAAACTGGAGTCTCTGAGGACTAGAGTCAGTCAGTGGTCTTCAAATGAACTTCTGGTGCATGTCCTTGTTCTATGGGGAAATTCCTAACACCACTGTGTTGCTGCTTTGTCCCTCCAAGTTGTGGAGCTCCAGGGTTCATTTTGTTACCGGTTCTGAAATACCTGCCGGTATTTGCCCATCACAGCTTTCATGGATGCAAAACCAGATCAAGGGAATTCCAGCTGGTACCTGTTACGTTAGTTGTCAAGAAGTTACAGTCTCCTTTATCTGAACGTGATGAACCACTCGACTGCTCCTGGACATGGCCACTGCTGTGGAACACTGACCAAGTCTGTGGGGTTAGTAATTAATTTTTATTAAGCATTAAAAGAGCTATAATGCAGATTTATAGGACCATCTTGTGAGCTCACTTACGGGGAAACGCTGAAGTCTTGAACATTTGAAATCCCTTTATCTTCTGGCAGAAAGGAAAATGTGGTAAATCGGAGACAGGTCACCTACGCGCCTCTTTCCACGCGTGGGCTGTACCCAAAATGAAGAACTGCAGGTTTGAGGATTCAGATTTTGGACGGCTTTTTTTAGATCCTTACCTTCCCTGATAAATTCAGTAGCAGTGACAAGGGGGATATTTCAGTGCATCCTCATGAGGCGAGACAAGTGCCCGCTTTTGTAGGCACCGGTGTCCTGGCCTGACGCCATGCTCTGTGTGGGCGAAGGTGTGACAGTCAGCTTTCGAAGCTGGAGCAGAGCATCATTACCAAACTTCAACCACATTTCATGCACAGAGATCATTACCCCGTTGCTCTGAGACCAGGCTGCTTTTTTTGCTTATTTTCTAGGTGGAATTTAAGGCATGAGCTGCAAAACACAAAGCAGCTCTGGCTGCGATTACCTCTGTGAGTGCCTTTCCCTCCTCCGGCGGTCACAGTCAGCCGAGGAAAAGCGAAAGCTGTCAAGTCCCTGCAGAAAAGGAGAGAAATTAGTGCTGGCAGAGTCTGTACGCGACAACTTATCTGCTGTGAAGTTTGAGTCCCCTGTTCCTGCTGGTGTGATCTGTTAACATAACATGCCTGAAATGTTTTCTTACGTTCTTACAGTTTTTTCTAAGATGTGCAAAATGAAAAACATGGGGATATTTACTCCAGTACCACAGGAATTGCGATGGGCTGGTTTTCTTTTTTTTACGTTCACAGTCTATGCCATCGATTATGCTGTTGTGTTGTAATATATGAATTAGCCACATAAACATGCCTGCATTTATGCAAAGATCTACATAAAGCTTATGCTTTAAAACCTTTAATGGATTCCTAAGTGCTGAGTAATTAAATGAAAGTAAAAGTCCCTTTTAAAAAAAAAAAAGTGACATTAGAGCAGGTCTTTTAGTAAGTGTGTTTAGTACATTTAGCGCTATCAATTGTTAGTGCTGAGAATGCCTTAAAGCATTTCTTTTAATACTTAGCTCTCTTTAAGTCTTCTCATTGGTCAGTAAAATACTCATCTTAGCTTCAGTCCCATGTTCTTCATGACACTTCTATAAAGTCCTGCTTTATCTGGTTGGCAGATAATATAAAAGAATTAGTGCTTTAAAAAGACACACAGCTGTGCCCTCTGGATCTTGGTAAGGTTTCTGTTACTCCCCAGCTGATGGTAAGGACGTGCACTAAATCCTTATTTTCTCCCTGTGGTAAGCAGACTTTCTTCAGATAGTAATGGAGGCAGATAAGTTGAGTATGTAGTCTGGTTTCATTAACGTTTTCCAGGATTAATATTAAGTGGATCTCAGATCAACAGCTCTGTATATTCCTTATCAGACTTTTAATTACTGCAAGCATATTGATCATTCCATTTCAATGTATTTAACTCTCTGTTTACTGCTTGGATACTATTCTCATCCTCTTCCTCGCCACATCCTTCTTTACCTTCAGTCCCCACTTTCTTGTCAGCTGTCTAAATACAGTTGCATCCAAGTTGTGCTGAGTGACGCAGATGTGCGTTTAGAGGCCATTTAAAAACCAAAAAGATTAAGTGAATTTAGTCCCTGATGCGAGTTTTTTTTATTTAAAACACAAAACCAGCCAGGGAGTTTTTAGAGGTTACAGACACAGGAATAAAAATTTCCCTGATTAGGAATTTCTGTATAAATACCAGTAGTCCCTAATTCTGGCTTTTCACTATTTTAAAGATCAATGTCCCAGTTTAGGTTAGCAGCCACAGGGGTGCTCTGCGATCTGATGGGGCTATTTTTGCGAATACTTACCCCAGTCCTTGTTGCTGTTGTTTAAATAAAAGCATTTAGATGGTTAAATTTAGAGCCTTATATTTAAAAACAAAACCCAAGCCTAAAGAAAAAATCTGTTGTCAGTTTGCTCTTGAGAATCACGTTTTCACCAATATTCCTTTTTCCCTAAGTGGCTTGAAGAAAGAATTAACAGTTTTATAGAAATGCTCTTTGATTTCCTACCTAATACGTTGCTGATTTATAGGCAGCCAGAACTAAGTGTGTGAGTGTGTAGTCATTACTGTACTGTATTTTAATTAGATTTTATTTTGCTTTGGGTTTTTTCCCCATTAATTCTCAGGTTGTTTTCACATTACATTAATCATTCCAATTACACATGTCCAATTCATCGCTTGGTGCATATTAAACTCTCTTCAGCTGTATTTCAAACACTGATGCTGAATTCTTGTTCTGAACTGATTGTTCAAAAGAAAGTTCATTCTTGACCAGAAGTGTTACATTTCCTGCAAAGTTTGTTTCCTTCATGCAGCATCGAGCAGATTTGAAAAAGATGATTATTCATCTCGCACTTGTGATCCGCTTCACTTATTAGTGCTCCTTTGTGGGGGATGTCGGCATGCTCCAGGTCATGCCTCTGTTCAATCTGTAACAGACTGGCAGAAAGGAAAGTGTTAGAGATGTTGCTCACGTAAGCACTTCTGCATCCATTTCTATCTCATCGGAAAACTGAAAGGTGATTTTTGTATGGATTCCTGTTCAAGAATTGTGCATTAAAACCAGGAGGGACTTTCTTTTGGATTTAACTGTAGAAACACACTCACATACTGTTGCTGGTTTGCCACTGCCTTGTTTTGGATAGCTGAAGCAACTGTTTCATGGACTACTGCATTGCCCACTTCTTTCTCAAAGACAGACAAAATATTTGGAAACTGAGTAGCTGTCAAAATACCACTGTGTTTATCCTCTTTTTTGAAGGATTTAATGTCATTAGTGCAGGAGAGAGAGTTGAGAGCAGCAGTAGTGATACTTGCAAAGGAGTAATGGAGAAAGCAGGACCTGACATGGCTGGAACTGTTTTCTCTCGTGTGTTTATGATAAGGTTGTGCTTGCTCTTCAGTGAGAAGAGGAATGTCTCCTTCTCGGGGAGACTGTGGCTCAGTAGATGGGAGGAGAGGGGGGCTCAGGACCTCCCCATTACGATATATTGAGAAACCATGGCTGGAAGCATCTCGGAGCTGTGCAGAGCTGCGTGGGTGCCCTTGCCTTGTGTAGCAGCAGCAGGTCTATCGCATCAGGCAGGGCTAACGGGGAAGAGGGGAATTGGGGTCTGCAGCCCCCGTGCTCCTTCCCACAGCTCCACCTCTGCCTGCAAAAATGACTGGGTTGGAGTCAAGTCCCAGTTCTTCTTCCTTACCCAGGCCATGAATTCAGTCTGCAGCCTTGCCTGGATTTCTCAGATCTCTGAACGTACTCCCCCGTCGTTAAGATGGGACTAACCAGACTGAGCAAACCGCTTTGAAATATAGGTATGAAACTACTATCTGAGTGTGCCAAGCAGCATTACTGCATTTCAAGTGACCTTTCGGTCTGAAACTTTGCCAAAGGGAGGGGAAAGGAAGCCACCGTTGAATTGAGTTCTGCACAGAGATTCTGCAAACAGATGGTGTTTGCATATAGGATATGCTGCTCGGGTGCAATTTACTACAACTCTCTTCGTTTTTAATAATTTCAGGCGGGCTAAACTCCGGCTATACTTGGAACAGCTAAAACAGCTTGTGCCTCTCGGGCCGGACAGCACCAGACACACCACTCTAAGTCTGTTGAAAAGAGCTAAGATGCATATCAAGGTAAAAACATTCATCCCTATTTTTATTTCTTTTAAAGCAGACTCTTCCAGAATGTGTATCCATAGAGAGGAAACTAATTTTCACACAAAATCCGTATGCATATGTCCATTCTTCTGGATATATTGGCCTTTATTAGTTGCAAGGATTTCAGTCACAGTATCAAGGTTTTGTGTTTTGCAATTTACCCTGCAGTCTCAGATATATAAAAAATGGTGATTTTGTGATTTCTGCTTAGTTACTAATGCTTTACCTTGTAATTTAAAAAAGAATATATATGTATCAACGCTGTCCTTTGATTTCTTTTAGTACTGAGCAAAGTAGCATTGTACTGCACTGATTTCGCTGTAAAAAGCCAGATCTATTCATGATCGAAAAAAATAATGGAGTCAAAGGGATTATAGCTGCTAGTAAGCCTTATCCCCATCCCACATCTTGATGACCAGGTCCTGGGGCATTTGACAGTCATTTAAAAGAAACCAAAAATGAAATGCAATCTCCTGTTAGCTGCCGCTCCCTTTGCATGTTTCTTGTGTGTAAAAAGTTTAAAACAAAAACAAAATCTCACCTGTGATCCAGCAGCAGTGCAGGTTCCACATTGGCACAGGTAATCCAAAGGGAATTATCCCTCAGACCTCCTCTCTCCAAAGACACCTTTGCTCCCATTTTCACTGTTGTAGTTTTCAGGGGCATGAGGTTATGTGCAGAAATAAGCAAGTTAAAGAACAGGTTTGTGGTGCTGTGTCCAGGAGTCTAATTACTCATCTGGCATTTTTTCAGTGTTATAGGGAAACGGGTCAAGAAAAGTGTCAAGAGAGGTTGAACACTGCCAGTAATCTTGGAATATTTTGGAGAACGACCTGCTGTTGTACAACATTAAGATTCACTGCAGGTGCAGAAATGGGTGTAATTCGTATAAAGTATTAAAGATGAATTTAAGCAAAACCATTCTTGTGAACAAGTTTACTGAGCTACTTTTTCAGCTCTTCTAAGCACATTTACTCCAGCTGGGCAACCCCTGTTTTTACCATTTGAGATTTTGGCCTCTTGTTTATAATTCAGGCTAACATGCATGAACGGCACTGCGTGTGGTTTTTGTCTTGGGCTGCCCCCCTATCATGGGCTTATGCATACCAATTGAAAAACTGTTTTTACAAGTGGCAAGTGTGAGAGATTAGCCATGTAGTTACCATTTCAGCTGCTGATAAAAAAAAGCTAGGAACAGATTCTTCCCAAGTCCACCGTGCATGGTACCAAGTACTCATTTTCTGAAAACTGAAACTGAAGTTTAGCTTTCTTACAAGATTTTAAGTGAACCGACCCCAACTGGGTTGCCACTTAATTGCCGCTCTTCGTCAGGCGATCCTACCTCCCCGCTGCACTGCCAGAGCATGCCAATGCCTGCTTGCCATTTTTAGTACAGTCATTAGTTTTGAACTTTTCACACATACATACCCGTATATTGAAACTTGCCCTGAAAGATTGGACAGTTTTGAGTCTCCTGGATAGGAATCACTGAGTTCATTCCTAAAATACTTGTTAGAGTTTGGGATTGCAGCCAGGAAAATACAGGAAAAGGAAATCAGATCAATTGGGCACATTTGGTTTGTTGTGTCCATGCATGTACCAACGCCTTTTCTTATTCTAACATTGTGTGTCCACGTATGATGCATAGCTACGTGGTGTATTGCCTGGGAGGGGGCTTAACACAAGGCTGCAGAAGTTCGATTTCATTCAGCCAGGAAACTGCCCAGTTCAATAGTGTCAATTATTTTTTCAAAGATAAATACTTTTGCTTTCAGGCTTGTATTGGAACAGCAAAACCTCTGAAATCGTTTTGCTTGTGGTTTGCTGTGCACCGTCCCACCCCGTTCTCCTCAGAAAACCAAGCGTAGGTTCATTCAGACGGTAGGGAGGAATTGTCAGCAGCTGCATTCACTCCCTGCACATCTCCTAAATCTCAGTGGTCGTGTAAACACAGCTCACAGAGAAATCTGGTCCTTCTTATAACCGCTTTTACTGCTACGACCTGTAATTTACTTCATCAGTTAGATAATTTTTTAAAATAATACAAGGTGTTTTGGTTTGCATGTCCTTCCTGCTTTTGATCCCATTATACTCATTACACTTTCTTCCCTAATTATATAGTCAATTTTTTAAAATGGCTATCAGTGATTTGGAAGAGGGTTCAGTTGAAATGCTAAAAGATACTATTTCTGCTACTGCATTTGGACCAACAGTGCAGCACATTTTACCAGGTGTGAAGTAATTCTTTTTATTTCCAAGATTAATACCGTCTTTTTTTCAAGCAGAGGGGAGACTGCAGGTAGATCTGTGAAAGGATCCTTTCACAGGCTGTTTGCTGAGAAGTTTTGGATTAATACCGCTGATTTTGTAGGAGGTTATCACAGGCTTACCATATTTGCTCTGCAGAAGGTCAAGGAAAAAAATGCAAGAATAAAGAGACTTGTTAGTAAATTCCTCCTACTATATGTAATTAATACAGCTTACTGTTAATGAAGGTTTTTAAATGGTAAAAACTTCCATGGCCTGTGGTAGGAGGGAGAGCGTTCAGGAGGCTCGCAGTGGTTCCTTTATGGTGATAAGTCTCTTACTTTACCTAAAGAAGCCTTACGTTCCGACTGAAACCTGAGCTGCGCTCTAGTTATCAAAGGTGATGCCAGTTTTGCCTGACAAAATGATTTAAATGTTCCCCACAGCCAAGGCAACAATAATTTGGTCTTAGCTGAGGGAAGTCTGCTAGTGTCAAGAGTCTCTGAGGGATTTTCCCTCCCTGCCCCCGCCCATATCCATCTATCTTACTGGGAAACAAATTCAGTTCTGGCCTAGCCAGCTTAAATTGAACTGACCTCTACAGAATGGTAATAAAAAGTTAATTTTAAAAATTTAATTTAAATTTCATTTTAAATTCATTTTTTAAAAGGTAAGTTGTTTTAAAATTACTGTTTACGAAAAGATCTTAGGTTACTTAAGTTTTAACATGAGTAAAAACTGTCAGCTTACTGTCTTTTCTCTCCCTTTAAGAAATTGGAAGAACAGGACCGAAAAGCTCTAAATATTAAAGAACAATTACAGCGGGAACACCGCTACCTCAAACGCAGATTGGAGCAGCTATCCGTGCAGGGCATGGAGCGTATCCGCACTGACAGTATGGGATCAACAATATCCACTGACTCTGAACAAGGTAATTGAACGGGGGCTTCCCAAAGGGCGTTGCAGGAGCAGGAAGGAAAAGGGAAGTAGGGAAGCAAGAAAACATCGTTTAGAACTAAAATCAAGCTTTCAAACAAAACCCAGACAAAATTGTTCCATTCTGCAATTTGCAGAATAAAAAACTACTGCATCTTTTTTACATTATTTGAAAAACTATCTTTTTTCTAATCAGTTTTGAAGCTACTAAGACTGCATGTATGTTTAAAGCTATTTATACTGCATGTGTTTTTGCCAGTTTTTTAAACAACTACCATTTAATGTTCCAAATTTTTAGTGTAATTATCGGTAAGGCTGGCATAATATTTTCTTCTTGAAAAAAAAAAAAAAATCTTAGTGGTCTTAATTCATTCCTGCAAATAAATTAATTCCACATCACTTATTGTGAAATTTTAAAATATTTTCTGTGTAACAGTCACCAAGTGTTCTCTACATTTGGTTCTCATTTAAGACGGAGCTCTTCAAGCTGCCTGTCACCATTTCTTATTCTGTCATTTGAAGTTTTTCTGTGCCTGAACACTTGCACAGGCTGACTCTTTCAGGGCCTATGGGAGATGAGTTGTCGGTCACGGTGCATTTACCGGTGGACAGATGGCTACACCGCGGTCGCTACTAGCCGACACCTGTATAGGTTGGAATTACCATGAACAGTGCTGCAGTATTGCGGCCTCAGAGGGTTTGCTTTTTTTTTTTTAAGATCGGTGTCTAGGCACAGGTTGGAACGGTTATGTGACAGCATTTGGTATTGATGTCATGCAGTATATTTATGTGGAGGAGGACAGAAGGGATTTGAATTCTCAGGTGGACAAGACGATCCTTTCCTCAGGAATTACCGTTCCAGGGTTTTTTTTTTAATTGCAGAAAACAAAGTATGATTCAGGTTTCACCTGAACGTTGATTGACCCAGGCATTACTGGCCCATGATTACTTGCTACCACCGCTGCCTTTCTGAAAATGTGCCTTCTTATGTTTTCTTTAGAAGTAGACATTGAAGGAATGGAGTTTACTCCGGGTGAAATGGACAGTATTGGAAGCGCCAGCGATGCTGAAGACCACTACAGTTTGCAAAGCGGTTCGAGCGACGGAGGTTACACACATTCCCGCAGACTGAATGCCAGGCTCTCATAGTGCCTGAGTTACCCGTTCAACTCAGGACCAGCTGACTGAAGCACTTATATATGAATATTCCAGAGGTGTCAACTGCCACTCTTCCGGGAAACCCCAACCACAGTACTCTGACATGGAGGTTTCTTACCCACGGTTCCCTGCACTGTAACCACAATATTCGATATTGTAAATCAAGGGTTTGCTGCAGAGAACTGTGGTTAGGTACAGTTGTGACTTAAAGCTAGCTTGATGTAGCCATACTGCAAATTAAAGAAAATAAATTATGTCATTCCATTCAAGAAGTATTAAATTCAAACTGTTGGAAGCATGGCGTAAGGGAGTTTGACAGTTATTTTGATTTTGCAGAAACCATTTCAAACACGGAAGAATAAATGGAATCTACAATGTGCTAGTGATTCAGAGATACGAAAACCTAAAACTACTTTTTGTGGTATTTTTTCATGGAAAAAAACCCCAAAACATTTTGAACGCTGTATAGCGGGCTCTACAGAGTAAATTCTTTCAGCAGTTGTTGTTTGGGTGAAGCAGGCAGATAAATCGTCAAATCTCAGATGATCTTTAGAAAAGGTCATATTTACAAGTCACTACTGTACTTCAAAACAGGGGGAAAAGCCAGCTCTAATAATGACTTCATGTGGGATGATCTCAACTTTCTTTTGCTTTTTTGTATTCAATATCCAACCAGCAGCAAATCGTTCTATCCATGTAAACGGGAGTAGTAGAAAGCGACACTGCAGTTTTAACCTGTTATCGTGGAACGGATGACATTTGAAGCATTTCAGTGGCTTTTTGGGTTGTTTTTTTCATTTCTTTATCTGAAGAATACAGAACTCAAGTGATCCAGTTTGTGATAGTTAATCTTTCCTTGCAAGGAAATGAAATCTCTGTTTGCTTGTATTTTTTTTTCTTTTCTTCTATTTACACATGTCAATACATTTTTATGGAAGGCATGGCTTAAAATTACAGTATTCAGCTAGGAGATAATTAATCTTTTTTTTTCTTTTGCACACTATAATTGTATTTTCTGTTCTTAAAAAAGTGCAAAAAAATTAAAATGTATGCTGTAAAACAGCAAAGTTTATTTAGTACTCATCAAGCTGTTCAGAACATATTTACCCAAATTGTAGCAATACTATGAAGATGTATTTTAATACAACTTCTGCTTAGTGAAGTCATTAGAGCTTGGCTTGCCGGGTAAGAAAAAAATGGACCAGTCTTTGCATTATCTGTTTAAAGAAGGTCTTTTAAAAAAAAAAAAAAAGAAGAAAAAAAAAAGAAAAAAAGAAAAAAAAAAAGAAAAAAGCTATAAACACTTTTAGGGAAGTGATTTTAGCAAGTGTAGTCTATATTTCCTGTAAGAGATTTTGTATTATATTTTCCTAAATGTTCTCATTTACTTGTATAGGGAGGGGAATGGTACAGACCCAGACCAGAGTCTCAGGGACTCTTCACCTTTGTCATATTGTGCCTTGGTGACCATTTATGTATGCCTCTCCTTCTCATTGTTTAAAGGACAACTAAGCTTTGTTTCGAGACCCTCCGTTCGAATGGTCAGTTGTCCACCTTCTCACGGATGAAGCAGAGAGGTGTATTTATATCTTCACCCTCTCGCAACTGATTCAGTGCGGCTTTAAGTAAAATCATAAAGTTAGGTTTTGGTGCGAGGGTTAATTGTCTTTGTATAAGCCCTCCCATGGATTCTTCAGCACCCGAATCTGTATTTTGTTAGCTTATAAAGTCAGGGTCTCTGTGAGACCAGTGCTCAGTGGCTAGGGAAACGCAAACGTACTGTGTAAAGCTATGGGATGTCCAAGTGTGGTGCCATTTTTAGCATTCGGATACAAGACCTCATGACAGACTGACCATAATGATCAAAAACAAAGATTCAGTTGTTCTTTCAACGTCTGACATACATGTCCTCCCTTTGGCTCTTACAACACGGAGTAGAAATATGAATACATTTTGTGGCAGCTTACAGATCCTTGTTTGCACTCTCGCTTACTGCTTGGAACTTGCCAACAAGGAAAACGTATATGTTTAATTTACATAACCTAATGGATGGCCACCCCTACTTTGGCTCTGGGGAGGGGCCTAAGGTTATAAACTCTGGCAGCTGAATAAGAAAACAATTAACCTTTTCTGTGATGCAGGTTTTGGTATTATGTTCTATACACCTTGCATATTACTAAAATCCTCATTGTTGGGGAAAGCACACAGCAATATACTCATTGTGTGTAGCTGACAAGCAGCAGAAATTACTAGCTCCTTTGGTGCGTATGTAACTAATTTCCAAATCATGGAAAAAAAAAAAAAAGAGTTTACTTTAACACATGACTGTTAACAGGAAAAAAAAAAAAAGGCTAGTATCTTGTTGCTGTTCATTTATTATATAATGAACACATTCATGAATTGTAAAGTGTTTCCTTTTGTGACAAGCAGCTCTTGCACAGAACCTCCTAATGAAAAGAGATTTGAAACTTACAGAAGGAAAAACGAGATTTTAAATTGAACATTATTGTACCCTTGGTCGACCTGAAATTTTCCTTTTAAAGATGAATGTGCTAACTTAATGAGTTCTTCCACGCTGGGTATCCATGGCTTTGTAGATCTTATATTTTCAATAAAAATTACTCGAATAATCTTGAGTGGAAATAAAAAGGGTTTATTTGTTTTTACTTTTTCAGTTATTACAGCTGAGGGCTATTACGCCGGTAAAGAAAAATGATGCCGTAGTGCCTGCGTCACTGCCTCAAGTAGAGCCCCGCGTGCGGTGGTGCCCGCAGGCGCAGCCCCCTCCTCTGCGGCTGGGACAGAAGCAGCTGGGTGGAGGGCAGCGGCCCGGCTGCTTCCAGCGT